AAGCCTACCTACAATGCTATGATCTAAATTAATTTCTCTTGATAACAGCATCAGTAGACACACGATGCATCTACCAGCTACCTGAGTTCCTGTTTCTCGCTGGTATCGACAACCTCAATCTTGATGAACTGGTTGATTACGTGGTGACTTGGCGGGTTCTCCAGAAATTGACTGGTTTTTCGAAGTGGCAGATAGCCAAGGGAACGGCTGGACCACCTGGTGACCATGGATCTGGTAACCTACGTTCAGGTTCAGCAGTCTTTGATAAATTGTCATCTCCTTACGCTAGCACTGACGCCATTGCAGATGTCAGTGCATCGACCTCAACCTACTTGCCATGGGCTGGTGGCCTTCAAGGTGTACTCGGAGATCTTCAGAGAAAGCGACCGAATCGAGAGCCTCTGGCCAAGACAAACAGGATGGCCAAAAAACGTCAACACACTGACTCCTTTCCATCTACTTTTCCCTCCAGTTCAAACCCATCGAATGTTAGTATTACTTAAATTTATTGGAAAGTAATTTGGTAGGTAGGACGACCAAAAAGGTGTGGCCTTTTGGGTGGTCGCAGTCTCCTTTCGTTGTATAGAAGTTGTTTGACTTTGTTTTCGGAACTCGGTCATATTGGTAGGAAGACTTAGAGGAAGGCACGTTGCCCGGAGTCCATTGTATGCATGATCATTTCCGAAGTTTAACCATGGACGTGGTACATTCCCAAACGTTTCGCCGGCATCATTAGTGAGTATCGCCATTCTTAGCACCATGCAACAATTCGTTAAAGAGAAAAGTGAAGCCGATCCTTTGACCAAACGTGTGCTAAACAATTATGGTATCTCCCCTTCAGCCTTGGGTTATTCGCGTTTCAGGTAGCATCCTATCATGCCTTCACTATTAAAATGTTTACCGTGTTGATTTAGATATAGTGTGGTGTGCTCCTTTGAGCGACATGAAATCTTCACACTCCAACTGTCGTTCTCCCCCTTTCATCCTTGTGCAGGGAATTTTGATCAGAGTCTGCTTTATTATTATGCAGTCCTCTTTCATAGTTTTATCCCAATCTCTCTCTTGCTCCATAAAATCCGTCTGCTCTACCCCTTGTTCACCTATTTTACTTGACTCCTGCC